AAAAAAAAAAAAAAAGAAAAGATAAATAAAATGAAGGAACTAGGAATTAGGCATGACATGTGGTGCTCATCACAAATTATAAATACTCTTTTTGCAGTAAGCAAGTGGAAGAAACCTTTAGAACACTGCAATCTTCAATTAGATCTATAATTAACTGGACACTTAGTCACTGATTTTGTATGAAGAAAGGAACAGCAGAATGAGGTAATAGAAACGATAGAGAGTGCGTTGACAATTCTAATTTGTGTCTGGCTTTTGTATAAAGATAAGTATGACTGCACCTTGAATAAGAATTAAATTATCGGCCTGTCCCCAATTCCAGGTAAGCAATGATGTGATGCATAGTTAAAGTGATACAAGGAAGAAGAAATGAGTCTTTCAACATAAATTCCATAGATTCTAGGAATTTGTTTCGAAAGAAAAAGTATCAATGCCTTTCATGTTCAGTAAATTGCTGTACAAAAAAGCAAAAGATTCTGTGAAATACCCTTTGTAGTTCACCTTGACCATATTTTCCCATAGATTGGAACCTCCTCCCAGAAGATACCAAGCGCCTCCCAAATGCTGATCAGTAATAAGAATGAAATGAGCTTGAAGAGAAATTCTTATAATCATGGGCTAGTAAACTAAATGCCAAAATCGTGTACTGTTATTCTTGCCTGGTTTATTACTGTCTGCCAAAGAGCCCACTAACAAAGGGAGCTTGCTAACCAGAGTGGTGGAGGTTGATGTGTCTGCTTGTTCCCATGCCCGACTTATATTTAACAAAGTCTCTCCCAGCTCTTGACCACACTAAAATCTCAAATTCAAAGTAAATTTGTTTCCTATAGTTTCAATCAATGAATCTTCCAATTCATAAAAAGAAATATGCAAACTCATACAAAGAAATCTCTGATCAGATCAAGTGATTGCCACCATAGTTATGATAACTCTTCATAAATTGATCACAACGGATTAAGAAAATAAGCAGATCAAAGCGGGTTTGCTTAGCTTCTGTGGGCATGAAAGAACATCTTAAAGTAATAGATTGTGTTTTGTATGTCTCTCCATCAGGTGCCAAGCCTTAGTAGTACACAGCATGCAAAATTCTTATATGCGACATCAATGTAGAAATGGTTTAACTTGCATAACATAATTCACAGGATTACATATCCGTTGACTTGAGCCAAATACCAGGTTAAAGAAGGAAGCCAATTTCGAACTTCTCTTGCAGAAAGCTACACACAGGGAACAATATCTGAGGTTGACTGAATTGTTGCAAAACTTTACATTTGGCATTAGTGTGAATAATCCAAGCTAAAAAAAACCCTACACTCAGTTTTATTTGATTTCTATGGAATCAAAAAAGGGGAAAACAGAACTGAAAAAATTGTAGCCAGCCCAAGTCACTTGTTTTTTTTTATGTGACAAGAAGCCCCGCAATGCCTTAAGCCATTTAACCTTCCCTTGTACTATTCTTTATCGACAGGGTCATGTGAGAATGGTGATACGACATAATTTGAAGGAGTTAACAAGAAATACTACTGTCTAGATCAACGGAATTGCCACTCCTTAACAATATGCATTCCACACTTTATAATGCTAGTTTTCTGAATTTAAAGCTATATTAATAAGCATTGAGAAGAGCTTTTTTTTTCCCTTTCTTTTTCATTTTAACAATATCCATTCAACAACAAAAGAAAAAGAACCCCAAAAGCCACATGACCCAATGATTTAGGGTAATGTCTAACTAATCAAACAAAATGGGATCAAATGACTAACATTGACATGGTGTGCAAAACTGCTCGACAAAAGTATCACCATATCTGCGCCACATCTTTTGGTCATTTTCTTCATTCCGTTTATTTGGTCAGTCTAGCATTATGCAATGAATTATCCTACCTTCCATTGTTTCGGCTGCCCAAAATCATTATTCACAGATGACAATTGGTTGCAACAACTTGTTACAGATCTACAATTGGAAGGAATGTCATGGTGAACTTACATGCGTGCACTTACAGATGCATTCATCCACTGAAAACAGGTAATTGACAGAACAATAGAGTAGAATATATTAACCTCATCGATGATCGGTCCATTTGAAAGATCAAAAGCAGCATCATTCAGCTGCGCCGTTTTCAAAAATTGGCCAGAGCTCTCTTAGTGTCATACATCACTTCAAACAAAAATCCAACTAAACTAACTACATCAGAAATTCTCATGGAGAATTCTAAATCCAACTTACGTCTAGGCGAAGATCCCGTGGCAGCTGTGCAAAGTAATCTGATGGAAGAACAAAGCTATCCTATAAAAGAAAAAACAAACAACTTTGTAAGTTCATTTACACACACGCACGCATATTTGGAAAAGAAATGGAGGCAAAGTGGTGCTTACGGCTAATTCTTGGAGAATGGTTTGAAGGTTAGGGTTAGGGTCTGGTTCTATGGATTTGGGAGAGTCTGATTCCGCAAGAGCAAATGAGATTGTGAGAGATTTGCACTTGAGGGGTTTGTAAGAGGGTTTGAGAGAGGGGGCATAGTGGGTATTCGGGAGAAAGGGAATGGCAGGAGTGGAAGATAATGTGTACAATGGTTGAGGAGGAAGAAGTAGAGAAGCCATTTGGGATAATGGAGTTTCAGTGCCAGCCTTGAAGGCCACGAAAATTTGGTGGGTCCTGTGATTTCTCTCTGTAGTGATCTAGTTCTGGATCATTGTTCAAAAAAAATAAAATATTAGTTCTGGATCATGTTCAACATTGGCTATTTTTTTTTTTTTTTGGGTTAATTACAAAATATCCCTTTGACTTTGAGTAATTTATAATCCACCCTTTAGGTTTTAATTTTAAGAAATAACCCCTTTTAAGTTTGAATATTTTATAATTAACTCCCATAGTTATTGTTAGACAGTAAAAATTGATTGTTAGACAGTAAAAATTGATAAAAATTAGATAGACCAAATTAACTGAGCTCCATTTTGTTAAAAAGAGATAATTGCCCTTACACATATTTTTTCCTTGTACCAAATATCCATACTTTCCCGTTACCATTACATCTTTCCATCATTTCATCCTTAGATGGTTAACTCTATTTATCTTTCCCTTCAAATAAAAATCCTCCATTCCTTCTGATGACGTGGAGACAAATATTTTCTTATTTTTTAAGGACAAAATTAGTATCTCAAAAAATAAATATGAAAAATAATATACAAAATAGAAGGTGTAACGGTTCTTTCATGTGTTCAACCTGATGATGCTCAAATTGATGTTGTGCAAAATTAACAGTCAAGAATATAAATAAGTGTAATTAATGAACAATTAATAAGTAATTAATGACAATCAAGAGCAAAAGTGGTAAATAGGCAATCAACACAAAGAATTATAGTGGTTTGATTCAGGTGACCTATTCCACTCTCGGGAACGACAGCGGTGGGCTGAGTTTTTTTATTGCTGAATGAAGTCGCCAAAAAAAGTATTCTTCAAGAGTATTACAATGCTTAGAGGGAGAGGGACAGAGAGAGAGCAATGTGTATAGGAAGGTGTAGTATGTGTAGGGATCTCCAGGTCATGAAGGCATGCCCTTTATGTGCAGAGGATTTACATTATATAGATTCACCAAGGTGGTGAGGCGGTGACGTGGAAATAGGGTTTTTACCATTTTAATAAGTACAATTATGGTAGGATTAGGCCTCCGTGCGTATCCCAATATTCTTTCCTCGTGCCCCTATTAAGTCAGAAGAAGCCCCTGAGTTGGATTTGGGCTTGATCTTAAGCCTGGACGTTAAGTTGGAGTGGATTGGACTTGCACTGGAGTAAAGAAGACGTAGGAGGACTAGGGGGCAGCCTTGGGAGGCGCCTAACTTAGGTGACCCCCTCGGTGGCGCCCCAAGATCTTTGGGCGTTGGCCTCTTAGGCTCTGGTCTCTTGGTGCTTTTTTGGATTCCCTTATGACGGGTCGACCCAACTCCGATTGGACTTTCTTGGTTTATTTAAATTGGGCTTGGCCCAGTAAAATTCAGGCTCATCATTTGCCCCCCATGTCCAGAGCCTCTGACTTTTTTTTTTGAGAGGAAGGGGTCGAGGGCATGTGTTCCGATCTATCTAGGTGAGTTGGAATTTTTCTTACTTCGCACAATATCTTTTCATCTTCAGGAACTCGCTGAACGCTTCGATATCGATTTTTGTTTTGGGCGCTGGCCTTTCTCTCCTCTCTTTTTTTTTTTTTTTAAGCGACGGTTGAGGTTGTTTTGGGTGCCACCTAGAGGCTGGGCAAGTGCCTTCAGCGATGCCAAGAGGTTGGTAGGGCGTCTTGGGCAACACCAGGAGGCTAGGTAGGTGTATTGGAAGACGCCCGAGGTTAGACAAGCTCCTTAGGTGACGCCAAGAAGTTGATAGGGCGTCATGGGCGACACCAAGAGGCTAGGCAGGTGCCTTGGCCAGGAGGTCTTGGGCACTGTTGTGTTTGGGGGATGCCTTAAGTCTTGCTATTGACAGCGCTTCTCCAGTGTTTGGTCACTAACTGACCTTGTCTCTAATTATAGGCGCCCTGTTGACAGAGCGATGGTGGAGATTCTCTTGTGTTTTTAGGGTGGTGTCTTTTCCTCCTCCCAAGAGGGCGAGGTCTGATGCCCTCAGTGCTTTTCGGTCAAGGTCTACTCTGATGGCCAAGTTGCTTCCTGAGAGCGGGATCCGACGGTGCCCCTCTCTTTTCCCTAATTGTGAGTTCTGTGTGTACCAGAACTAGCCCTTATACTGCTGTAGGAGTTGAGACTTTGGCACGATTCCTACGAGGATCGTAGCTTCACATAGTGGTAGCTCGGTGTCAATCTAGCATAGTTTCGCAAGTTGCAGTGTGCCTGACAAAAATAATGTTATCTTAACATAAAATATCTAATATGATTACCTGTAGAGAGAGGCAGGCTGTATGCATGAGAGCAAAGTTAGAGATATAGACGTCCCGTGAGAGAGTCACATGAACTGAGATTGAGCTACGCATAGTCTCGTGGATGACCGTCGTGGCAGAGGCTTACAAGGTGACTACTTGTGCACTCGAGAGCAGAGTCATTGGCCGAGCAGAGTATAACTCGAGAGATGACTGCCATAGCAGAGGCTTACAAGGTGGTGACTATTTACGCGGGAGTAGAGTCATAGACTGAGCTACGTATAACTCGGGAGATAGCTATCGTAGTAGAGACTTACAAGGTGACTACATGCGCTAGAGCAGAGTCATATGGCTGCTATAGTAGAGGCTTACGAGGTGACTAAATGGGCGAGAGCATAGTCATATGGTTGTCGTAATAGAGGCTAGAAAAGGTCAAGTTTTTTTGTGACTCGTGAGAGAGTGCAAAGCTGGAGATATAGGCCGCTGAAAAGAAATTGGTACTTGAGCATCAGGCACGAGAGGATACTGCGGAGCTTGCACGGCAGGTACGAGAGGATACCGTGAAGTTGTTAGGGCTTAAGCAGCAGACATGAGAGGATGCCGCTAGGCGTAGACGCCAAGGGGCAATGGACGCCTCTAGGCATGAACGACAAGGGGTGCTGGGTGCCTGGTGATGGATGGGCACCTAGTGTTTGGCGCCTGTTGCTTGCCCTTGGTGGTGCTGACACCTAGTGCTGGGTGCCTTAGTCTGGACGCCTGGGTGCCACTAGGTGTGGATGCCGAGGGACGATGAGCGCCGTTGGGCATGGACACTAAGGGGCACTGGTGCCAGGATCGGAAAGGTCCTTCTTGGGTGGCATGCAAAAGGTGGGCTACAATCAGGTTAGGCGCTGTCGACCTGGGTGATGCCAACTTGGGTGCTAGCTTGGGAGGCGCCTACTACTAGGCACTTGATGAGAGGGTCACTGTCGATTTCTCTAGCTTCGTCCCCTATGAGACACCAGTAGTGGTTGGTGACGGGGAAAGCCGTGATTATAGTGATTGTGGCTCCGAAAATAGTGACTGATCGTTAAGAGTATGACGACTGTTATCCTTTTGTCTACACTTAGTTGTTAAGCCATGTTCTAACCTTTATAAGCAGTTTGTAAATTTTAGAAAAATAAGATAATTCTAGACACAATAATCTTCACAGAATTTTATTTCATAAAATAATAAATAACAGAATAAATAAGCTAAACAATAAATGATAGATAAATCTTCAGGTGCTCGGTGTCCCATAGATGGGCCGAGGCTTTCTTGGCGGAGTTCGAATCACCTTCTCCTCCTAGTCCTCAGGAGATCGTTTGGATTTCTCCGAGGGATTTTTGGCACTCTCTATCATCCTGGTCTCAACCAGGTGGCGGGACTTGTCCTCTGCCAGCAACATATTGCCTTAAATGGTCACGTTATATGATTTCCTCGATCTGTCTTTTAAGATCAAAGCTGTCGTCCGTATCATGGCTGTGGTCGCGGTGAAAATGGCAGTACTAGCTGAGATTTCTGTGGTTTGGGGCAGACTTCATTTTTTCAGGCCAACGGAGCGTGAGATCATCTTGTATTTGGAATAGGATATGCTCCACAAAAGCATTGAGCGATGTGAAGGCTTGTCGTTCTCTCAGAGGGGGGACCAAGGCAGTCTTTGGCAGAGATTTTCTCTATCCTCTTTCTCTTGTTCTCAGCCTCCCACTTGTCTTTGCGAGTGTCCTTCCTTTTCTCCCTGTAAAACCTGAAAATTTTGAATTTTTTTATGAAAAAGGACAAAACAGTAATTTATCGCTAAAGTATGGGTTGAAAACCTGAATTTTTCTAGATCTCGGATGACGAAACAGACCTCACCGTTGGATTCATCTCGTAAAATTTAGTTACCACGTCAAATTCCATTTAATGTCGAGATAGCTGGATTTTTTGCATTTTACGAGGCGGTCGAGTCTCGAGTGACCCAAAAATAAAATTTTTAATAAATTTTTAAAATTTGAAAAATAATTTTAATTAAATAAAAATAAAAATAATTTGAACTTGAACCGGAACAAAATTTAATCATTTTGGGACAAAAACGGACCCGAAAAAAAGAGAAGAGAGGGAAATAGAGAAGCTTTTTCATTTCTCTCTACGATTTACAAAATTCAAGCAGTCGAATCCACTCGGGCCAAGAGAAAAAGTTGCTCTTCTTGCCAAGGCCTACGCGACCTCACCAAAAACAACGAATTTTACCGAAGATCAAGGTATGAGATTTTTGGAAGTTTGGAATTTGGACTAGAAGTGGGTTCTAGGGATTTCCTATGGTTGTTCCTTACATTTCAAGAGGTAGGGTTCCTTCCTACTCGGGTTTTTTTTACAACCTAGGGTGTTATATGTAATGGGTAGATGGATAGCTATATATATCACTTGTCTATGGTTGTGAAATTGATGGAATTGGGTGATTGGTGAATTGGGTATGTGAATTTGACCTAATTTAAGTAAAATTCCTAGTTTGGAATTAGTAGGTTGCAATTATTGTGTAATTCTGTGGAAAATGAGTGTTATGTGGACATGCTATATGTTTTATATCATGCTTTGTGAATGAGGTGGAAATTCTTGTGTGGTAACATTAATTATTGCTTTGATGGTGTTTGCCAAATGCCTATGTATGAATCAAGTTATTATGACATAATGATGCATAACAAGCTTAAAAAAATATGTTGGAAAGAAATGTTAATATGTGCTCATTGAGATATTGACATTGTGATGATTTATAGAATTTATATGCTTATGACATGAATTTCTATGGAACATGTAGACATGTGGTTTAAAGTTGCTC